TACCCGTATCTGTTTTTTGTGATTATACTTGTTGGCATGCTATAAGTTTGATTAAGGGCTATCCATATTTACTTACTGAGTTTATCTCATAGTTTTTCCTTGTCCATCATTTCAGGAAACGAAGTCAAGGATGGGGAAAAACAAGGGGAGTGACGAGTTAGAAGGCTAGCCATCTTGTAAATTGAACATAGATTTGAGATATCAATCATGATCTTGTAAACTAGACTTTGTTTGGAGATTTTATGATATTAGAGTAAATTTATAATTTTATCTTCAGATTTTGATGGTGTCAGATGTGAATTGCATAAGTTCCGAGCCTTGTGCATTTGTGGGACCCTCTCACGAGTGTACGGCGTTTGTTACGCCTCGGATTTGGGTTCTGGGGCGTGACAAATTTAGTGGTATCAAAGCTTATGTTGAAATTAAGAGCTTAGGTTTAAATTCAGAGTTTAAGATTAAATTAAGCACCTCCAGATTGAGTGATATCAGAGTTTAGGTTTAATTAAATACCTAGGTTTAATTGAATACCTAGGATTTGTTTTGGACTTGGCTAGCTAATAGATTTTAGAATCGTGGTGAGACGAGTGATGGGGTTATATAAGGGACGATTCTGATTCATGTTGCCTGAATTTCCTAATCCATTTTAATTAGATGGTAATCGAATTGTTCTTGTTTCCTGCCTTCATACCCTGTGTAGATTCATGAAATTAATCTTGTCCTCCATGTTCTTAAGACCTTGTTTTGAAACTTGGTCATTTTCTGATAGTCTGCCCTTGTTTAGACTTGTTACTTGAATAGAATTTTTGTATGCTCTTTTGCCACCATTGTAAAATCTGGGGAGTTGTAGAGATCTTTTGTTATTGATCCTGTTGGTCCCTACAGCATAGTTAGTTGAGAAATTTGTTCTGTTTGTCAAATGATCAGTGGAAGATGGGCAACCCTCTACTTTGTAAGAGATTCAAGTCTAATTCAGCAAATGTTGTGTGTTTTCTAGATGCGTTTTAAGACCTGGATAACTTGGTAATTTCGTTGCTCATTATTTTTCTCAAAGTCTTATAAGTTTCACTTTTTCCATTTGGAGCTTCATAGTCTTTTCATGTGGCTCATATTTTCTATATTGGTTAATCAAAATAGTGATCATTCAATTGGAATTGCCTTGTTTTTGTGAAGATTGGCAAGTTATCATAAAGTTATACTCTCTATTGTTGCCAATCTCTACATTCTTGATACCTAGAAATTGCTTAAAACACTTGAAATCCATCTTGAATCTTTCTTGAGATTGCTTTGTACTTGTTCTTGAAATTGAAATCCAAAGGAAATGGATAATGATTATTGAAATCCTCATTATCTTGATACTTGTCTAAAATTAATTCTTGCATTGTTCTTGGAATCTATTCTTGAAAATCAATTGATATTTGGTTTTTGGAATCTAGTTTGAGTTGTCCTTGAAAACGTTCTTGTTCTGACACTGGTTCTTGCTAAAATTCTATATACTGTTCTTGTTCAAATCCTAAATATTTTGCTAATTCTTGTTTTAGTATACCTGTCGATCTTCTTGATTTTTGATTTTGTTCATATGGACACCTCTTTAGGAGGGGTGATGATATTTAGAAAATACCTATATGAGGCATCCTAATTCTGTCTCTTACAAGTGTTAATCTCTGTATTCTCGCTGCCTTAGCTTTGACTTGATTCTAGGATGTCTAGGATGACTTGATTGTAAATCTGCTTAGCCTCCATGGGCTACAAGGTGAAGGGGTAGTCTTTGAAGTACTTGATGCCCTAGAGTTTTGTTCCAAGAGAAATGGTTCTTTTATCTGGCTGTTTTGATTTTTGTTTGCCTTTTTAATTAGAAGACAGTAATCTTCTAAGTATCCTGATCCCCACTATTGATTGTTCTGTTAATTCATTCTAGTACTTGAGGTGCTAGATCTTGACATCCTGGTTATATCTGCTCTTGAATTAGTGTTCTGATTGTCATTATTGAAATCTCTTTTGTGGGCCTAATCCTTGAATTCTATTGCTTGTTTCATGGTTAACTCTTGTCTCTCAATTTTGACTGCTTGGTTAAATTTGATCTTGATTCTTGGTTAATGCCGCTTGTTGCTGAATTTTTTAAGGCATTCTACCTTGCACTCTTATGTTCCAGTATTCTTTCAAGCATCCATATTTTCCACTGATTTCATTCTGATGCTATTTTGGAAATTTCACACGTCATTTGATGGGTCTAGCTTTTAACTCTTGTTAATTGCTAAACTCTGTCTCTTGATTCCAGTTGTTTGTTAAACATGATCTTACTTATTGGTTGACCTTGTTTTGTGGCAGAGTTTATAAGGAATTCATGCACTTGTTCATTCATTCATGATTCGTACATCCATTGGATGCTTATCCGTCTTTGATAGAGTTTAAAGTTTTGTTGTACTCGTCTTTAAATCCATGCCATTCTTTGCCAACTCGTCTTGTGTTGGGTTCATAGCGTAACCCCACAATTGTTCTTTTGTGGCTTTGGCAGGATTTATTTTTATTCCTTATGCTTCCCATATCACCCCAGACTCTAGTAGCTTGTTTCATGGTAAACCCTGTTAAGTAGTTAATGTTCTGCTTTTAGGATTAGTTGTGGTTTGTTATCAGAGTGGCGTAGCGGAAGCATAGTAGGCCATGTCTGTTCATAGAAAGTCGGTGGGACATTTGTTTTGTCTTGGATTGGGTGAAGCCATTCACCACTTGAAATGATCCTCAATTTGAGTTTTGGGGACAAAACTCCTTTTTAAGAGGGGTGGATGTAACACCCCAAAATTTTGTGATATTTTAGCATAAAATTAAGGACTAAATTGTGGAAAAATATTGTTTTGGGCTTAATAGCCAAAATTTCCAAACTTGAGGGACTTAAAGAGGGAAAGAAATTGGATAAGGATCGGTTGGCATTTTTTTCTTCTTTTTCTTCCTCACCCGCGCATCTGCTCTTCTTTTCTTCCCCCTGCACCAAGCAAGGAAGCCAGCCACCGACGCGCCTTTTCCTCTTGAAAAAAATCGGTAAGAAGCTTGTGTTTTTCTCCTCTTTTCTTGTTCAAAAACTAGATTTGGAGCCTTGAAACCTTCCCCCCTCTCTATAGAATCCCAGATCTGCTCTGCTCTGTCTTCACTTCCGGCTGCTGCTCCTGCTTTGTGGGGTGCAAATTGCTCGGGTTTTTGGTAAGAAACAGCTCGAAATTCCCCTTTGCTCACTTGATTTGGCTTGGGTTTACTTTAATTCCTCTTGGTTTTCCCAATTTTTGGTAGATTGCGTGAATTCCCCCTGCAGATCCTGCAGGCCTCTTCCCCCAACTGCAGTCCGGTTTTAGCTGGAAAATTCTGGTATGGACAGCCCTTTAAGCCTAAAATTATTCGTTTAATTTGCTGCCTTGTGATGTCCAAAAATCTGCAGAAAATGGGGATGAATTCTGGTAGCTTTAGGACAAAATTAAGCATTAATTCAAGTGGGATTTATGTGATTGAGTGTTAATTGACTGTTGTGAGAATTTGGAGAAAAATCCCGTGAATTAGCTAGTGTTTTGGCCAATTTATGGAAGTGCAGTTACTGTTCACGATACTATTCATGGGTACTGTTTACGGGCACTGTTCACGCACTGATGGCCAACAATTAACGGGGATTTAAATGATTAGTTTGTAATATAAGAATAAATTTGGAGACTGATAGAAATAGCATCGTGATTAGGGGTAGTCCTAATGATGACTTCAGTTGGAATTTGTGGTAGTGCGGTAATTAATTCTCAGATATTTTGATTAGGTTCCTGATCGTTCTGTTAATTTAGCACTGAGATCGAGTCTTCGGTTTTATGCGATTTGAGGTAAGTAAATTATGGTAACGGCCTCCGATTTTAAAGCATGTTTTAACTTGTTTTTGAAGTGGTGGCGGGACTAAACCCGTTTTACACAAGTATGATCGATTTTAAATGAAATTAATA